GTCTCCATCCTTGCTGCCGAGTCTCCTTGCGCACGAGCTGCTGCTTGCTGCGTCTTTTGCGTTTGCACTGCCTCTTGCGCGATCTCGTGCTCCTTCAAGCGTTCTTCGACTTTTGCTGCCGCTGCTTTGGCTGGGTTGTCTTCCCCCGCCTTCGCTGACATGGGAGTTTCTGCTTTGACGTCAGGTGCGGCCGGTGTCACTTGCTGCTCTGCTGCTGCCAGCGCTGCTGCCTGCCTCATCGCTGCGGTTGCTTCCAGGGCTGTTTGCGAAATCGTTGCCGCGGCTGCTGCTGTTGCTGGGGATGAGGACGGTGACGCTGATCCTGCTGCTGCTGGTTGAACAGAGTTGCCTGAAGCTGTCTTCGCCACAATGTTTTCTGCTTTAGCATCTGCTGACGCCTGCGCCGATTGCTGCTCTGCCTCTGCCAGCGCTTCTGCTTGCTTCATCGTTGCAGTTGTTTCCAGAGCTGCCTGCGGAATCTTTGCTGCGGCTGCTGCTGCTGTTGCTGGGGATGAGCATGGTGATGCTGATCCTGCTGCTGCCGCTGGTTGAACAGCGTTGCCTGTAGTTGTCTTCACCACGTCTTTACCTGGGAGGTGTTCTGCTCTGGATTGCGATGCTGTTGCTGCTGCTGCTGCCACTTGCTTTGCCGCTGGTCCTGCGATCTCCTGCTCGTTCGATTGCTCTGCATCCTCCTGCTGCTTCTTCATAGGTTTGGCTGCCTCTGCCAGCGCACGCTTTGCCGCGTCAGCAGCTGTCTTCTCTGCTCCCTTGCCTTTGTTTTCTGCTTCAGTGTCAGCTGCTGCTGGTGTCACTTGTTGCTCTGCCTCTGCCAGCGCTGCTGCCTGCCACATCGTTGCTTTCTTTTGCTGCGGAATGTTGGCGTCTGTTGCTGCTGGTGCGGGTGCTGTGGATGGTGACGCCGTTGCTGCTGCTGCCATCTGCTTTGCCGGTCCTGCGTTCTCCTGCATCGCGGATTGTTCTGCATCAGCCAAAGCCTTCCCTGTCTTCTGCTGCGCTGCTGCTTCTGCCTTAGCCGTTGTCTTCATCTTGCTTTGCTCTGCATCCTTGTTTGTTTGCTGCGCCGCTAGCTCATGCAACTCTAGTGTTTCTTGCCTGTCTTTGTCTCTGGCAGCTTGGAACCTTTCCCTCCTACCAGCCATCTCAACTAATCGTGTTGGCTCCTTGTCCGGAGACCAAAATTCCTGGCGGAAGGGGTTGGCGTAATTAATATGCGGAGCTTTCATTGATGCAAAGCAAGCTCAGGTCAAACCACGGCTCGCCGGCCTTCTTCCAGGCGCTCTCCGCCGTGGCCAAGGTGGCCGCGGTGATAGAGATGTCATGCATGTCGATGGGAAGGGTGTCAGCACTGTCAATACCTAGAGGTTGCAGCCGTTGCTTCAGATCGAAAAGCAAATGGGCTTGTCTTTTTTCTTAAGCTTTGTGGGGTTGATGGCAAATAAAAGGAAAACCAGCCTCATTGCTATAATTTGACGTTTGGTCATATTGAGTGTGCATGTCAGAAGTCAGGGCCCAGTTGCATGAGCTCACCACAGCCTGGCATGCGCAATCCGTGGCATGCTCGCGAGAGCAAACGTTAGGGAAGTGAGCGAGGGTCTTGAGTAAGTTTAGCTCCTGGATCTGCAGCTGCAAGAGCAGCTCCTCCTCCTTCAGGAGCTCTAGCTGCTCTTCCTCATGCTGCAGCGCGTGGGCTTCGCTGTCCAGGCCCTTCTCTTCTTTCTTGTCAGGCCCCGGGATGTGCGCAGGCCGGACCTTCTCGGTTGTGTCAACAGCATTTTGACCTGGGCAGTTCACACGCGGGCGGGATAAAAACATCACCTGCCGGACTTTCAGCTGGAAGGTTTGAAGATCAAACATCACACGCTGACAAGGGAGTGTTTTAGACCCTGGCTTTTCGAAGAAAAACACTTGAAACTTCAGATGGTTCAATATACCCGCGATGGACATGGACCTCTTTGCAAAGGGGAGCATGAATGAAGACAAACACCGACGGTAAAAAAATGGGTGCTGGGGCGTTGTGACTTGTGACCCCAACTTGTGGCTCACAACCCAAAACAATCATGGCTCCGAGAGGGGCCCGGCTGTTGTTCCTTCCTGTGGCTCACAAAAACAACCGGTGTTGTTCATTGCTGCTGGATAGGCACTAGCCCAACCCCAATTTTCAGCTCGAGGGGCAACCGCCATAGGGGCTGTGGTTTCCACACCAACCAGAGGGTCACAACAAAGATCGGGCAAACAAAGCTTAATATTTTCACGAAGGGGACCTCAGTTTATACCCCGCAAAAAAAGGCTATGAATGAAACCCACAAACAAATGGCTCACATGTTGCAGAAAGGGGGGCCTTGTTTTCCAGTTTATCCATCCCACAAAACAAGCAACCCGAACCAGTGGCTCACAGTCGGGGCCGTTGCAGTTCTTTTAGAAAGGGGTTGAATAATCAGTTCATCAACTCAACAAAATAAAGACCATAGGCAACCAATGGCCCGCAGAAGGGGACGCAGCTTTCATGAAGGGATTTGGTTTGCCGTCTATCCACCCAAAAAAAGGCCTGAACCATCGCTCGCAGACGGGGCCGACACAGAACAAACAACATAGTTGGAGACTGTAACCACTGGATCACAAAGGGGCCGACCCAGTATTCACAAATGGCTTATCAGCGTATCCACCCTTGTTCATCTGTGTGTCCACCCCTCGCAAAAAAAGGCAATAAACTTGCTTCCAACCCTGTCTCAGAAGCGGCAGTTTTCGCAAAAAAAGGGGACCTTGTTTGATCAGCTTATCCACCACGCAAAACATGCAATTATATGCTCACCCCTGGCTCATGGCTCAAAGAGGCCGGTGCAGTTTTCTCACAACGAGGGACAACAAGGGGACCTTGTTTATCAGCGTATCCACCCAATAATAACTAATGGCTCACAGAAGCAACTAGAGCATTTTGTCGCCTGGTTCATGTTTCCATCGAGGGGCTGAGGCTGCATTTGGAAAGGGAACCTGGTACCCCAGTTGTTCACAAAGGGGCCCTGGTTTTGCCTGGACTCACAAACGCCTTTGTTTTGAACTTCAGTCAGCGACTCAAACAAAACCGTAAGGGTGTCATCCTTTGTTGAGCTACTGTTGGACATCAAATCTTACAGCCCGAAGAAGCGGATGACTTCTGCCCAACCCCAAGCGTGGTTTCATGGGGGACACAATGTTGTCTTGCAATCCGTTCTGCAAAACGCGCCACAAACATTTGCCCCCCCCCAACAGATAAACAGCACGTGGTCAGAATTTGGGGGGTGTGGGGAAATATGAAACGGGGGGTTGCACGGGTCCCCCCCCCAAAAAAAAACAATCTTGGCTCAAAGCTGATCTCTGAACCATGGAGTGTCGATCCCACTGAGTGAGAAACCCTTTCTTGGCGAAGGTGTCACGAGATCCGAAGCAGCCACCGGACTGCAGGCGCCTGCAGGCAGGGCACGGAAGGGGTAAGCGATCGGGTGAGCAGGCCTTCTTTGGGATTGCCTTCCTTTGTCTCCAGGTCCTCGCCAAGCCAAAGCCGGCAGCATTCCATTTAAAATTTCAACATGGGGACATGGGGTCCTCGATCACAGGGTCTTCAGCTTCATCATCAATTTCCTCTTCAATGCTTTCTTGCCCCTCATCCTCCCATTCGGAAACTTCTAGATCTTCTGCTTCTTCTTCTTCGCCTTCGTCGCCTGGGGGGGTTAAAGGTGGGAGACTCAAAGGCAACATGTGTGGGGAGAACACGCAGTAAATTAGCAAAGTGGCCCATGCTAGAGAGCGAAGAGCCTGGTGGCACGTCCATGTCAGCTTGGATGAAGAGGGCACGGATCTCTGGCTCTCTTGGCCGGTGGGGTCTCTTGGCAATGCGGCTAAACAAGGCCACAAGGCGTCTGAGGATCCAAGCTTCCGTGTTCACAACACCACCTTAGATGGTAGGGCATGCCAGACAACCGGGTCAAGATGCACCTAAGGTTTCGGCGTGTGGGCATTGGCCGCCCTCTGGGGCGAGCATACCGCAAGAACTCATCAACAGCCGCCTGGAGCATGTCAATGGAGACTCGCAAGCCTCGGCGCGAGCAAGCATCTGCAATTCAGGAGGGGCTTGCTTGCAACTTGAGAAATTGCTGCAAATTTAGCAGGGCAGCCCATGTGTCGAAGAACCGGGCTGATTACGTTGGCGTTGTCAATCAGGGCTTGCCGGTCCACTACTCCCGTAGTCCAAGCCATCTTGAGACCGCTTGCATGTTGGACTAGCTCATCATCTTGTTTCCACAGGTCGACAACCCCGGCCACAACAGGGTTTCGTAACATGGCAGCCTCAAAGATGTCGCTCAGAGCCGAAAAATGCTGGTAATCCAAGTTGTGCCAAGACAGCAGGTATCCCCATGCAACCGGCAAAGCTGCCCATAACCAGCCAGGAATTCCTTCTTCAGACATTGGTTCGCCCCAGCAACGTACCTGCGCCAGGTGGTCGGGCGGCGAGGAGCTGTGCAACACACAAGCGGCGCACAGTGGCGCACGCCAGGGCGGTCAAAAAGATGGCATACCATGCCATACCGCTTTGAGCTGGCTGCCGCGGCTTCTATGCATGCCATGGTTCACACCATGTCCCAAAAAAACGATCGTTTCAAAAAAGCGCTCGATTCATCAGAAAACGCTCGAGAGAGCAGAAAGTGTATCAAATACTGGAACTTACACAAAATAACGCTCATCCGAAGATGCAGGTATCTTATCTTATCTCATCCTATCTTATCTTATCTTATCTTATCGTATCTTATTTATCTGTCTATCTATTTATCTATCCTATCTCTATGGTTCTTTCTTTGTTTCTTCCTTCGTTCCTTTCTCGTCTTGTATTATCTCATCTCATTCTATTTCATTCCATCAAGTCTATCCAGCATGACCTACGCCATCTCATCTTCTCCATCTGCCTGTCTGCCCAGCTACCTAGCTATGTGCCGATTTTTGGTAAGGAGGCGTTGATCAAGTACTACCTGAGCTACTTGCCCGGCAACGTGGACTTGGAGGAGGCCAGAAGCCGACTGACCACCATCTGTTGCAATGCCGCTCGGCGCGAGCGACGTGTGGCACGTGGGGAACGTGGGGAAAGTGGGCGCCCGGATTCCTCGGCCCGGTGGATGTGGTGGCTGGTGAGGGTGCCTGGATTCGGGGTTGTAAGGAACACCCCCAAAAATATTCTCACATTGCAACACTCCAGATGTGGTACCCAGTTTGGCTAGGGTATTTTAGATATATTTGAAGGCCGCTTCGGAACCATGAATTTGGGACGTCTCTATTGAGCTCACCCAACGTCGAGTTCAAACTCAACTCTTACTCCTTGTGCCACGGATTGGGGTCCCCATTGCGAGCGACCCATCCTGTTTACTCAGGATCATTCTGCGGGCAGTGTGACGCAGAAGTTGCTGACGCGGCGGCGGACGCTGGAGCGCATCAAGAATGCCATCAACCCCGAGACGGCGGCGATGACGTGCTTCAACTCCACAGAGCCTCGGCGATATCGGGCCCTAGCATGCTCCCAACGGCGGAGATGAAGGCTGAAACCAAGGGATGGCTTATGAACCCAAAAGGGGATGAAACTCGGTGCGAGTTAGTCAAAATGTCTAAGCAAGAGACAAGAGCCTTTCGATTTCAGCCTTGTGGTGTTCAAGATGCCCAAAGGTTCACCTTTTTTTTCCGGTGTCTTTGGGCAGAGGTTGGTGAACACGGTTCATGACTCGACTCGAGGACTTTCCGTCTGGCAAAGGTTCCACACACAGAAGCGGTGTGCTCCGCAGGAATAGTCCGCTTCCTGATAAACATCGGTGCAAGGGTCATGAATGGGAATGTTGCTTTTGGCGCCTCTTATATGTCATCAACAAATCCCACCAAGATACGCTGGAACAAAAGCCAATTAAGCAGTCGCAATAACGTATTGTGGTGGACGCCCATGCTGCCGAACTGCGGGCAAGGGGGCCAGACCCCAGGCGTTCAATCACTGAATGATTGCATGTACAACTCTGGGCAGGTCTCAGCTGGTGCTTTGTCTGCTCAATATCGCCAACTGCCAAACAGCCTTGCATAAAAAAGACAACTATGTTGATGCATGACAGCCGCTCGTTTCAACGAATTTGCAGAAGGCCTAACTGTGCTGGAATGCCTGGACCTGTCCCGACCTCCCACCTATGCGCGAGTGGCAAAGCGAGCCGTTTGGGCCAAATCTGCAAGTGGCACCTCCAAGAGTCCTCGTTTTTTCTGAAGGTTCCACATGGAGCCCTCAAGCCACAAATGTAACGAGGACAGTACCTGAAGTCTCCATGACCCTTAAAAAATGGGTCCGTGTCCCTTTAATTTTGGGTAATGACGCCATTTTTTAAGGGTCATGGAGACTCCTTGTTGGGCTTCGCCAATTTACCCTTGGCCAAGGATGCAGAGGTGGAGCTTGCCTCTCGGACGGCACAGGTTCATGACTCTGTGCCTCATATTGCTTGGGGCAGCATGGGCACGGATATGCTAGGTCCCCCAGCCAGTTGCTTTTGTACCCTTTTGTTGGGGAGGGTTCCCCTACTAAGATAGACCACAGAAGAAGGGTACCCTGATTCTAACCTCGCTACTGGAGGACCTAGTATGGATCGAACTCAACCTAGCGCATCTTTTTGAGGGAACCTCTCTTAGTCCATCAGGGGGTGGAGACCAAACACAACCCACCCTCGAGAGGCTTCATCTTAGGCGCCCGAAAGGCAGCCAAGATGAACGCAGACAGAAGCAGGATTTCTTGAACCCCGCCCTATCCGCAGGATTCCGGAGGTCCCACCTTGAAACATGAAGCCCCAGACATCTAGCGAAGGGCTATGTTCAATGAGCTGACTTGGGCATGTCATCACCCCAGGCCAAGGAGCTGGGGGTCCCGCTCTTCGGCACGGACACGCAGGGTGCCTTCTGGGGCACCAAGACGGGGAACCGCCAGATCTTCAGAGCGCCTCGCCCTCGGCCGAGTCGAATCGGCTGGCGCCCCAAGTCCCGTTAAGGGGCCAAATGGCGATCGCACCCTAGCACTTTTACCTCCCCCCCATTTTTTAAAGAAAATGGGGAGACACACAAAACTTGATATTGGCACGGTATTGGGTTTTGTTTTGACCCACGATGTGTTTTTCTTCATGGTACCCTGTTTGGGGGTTGATTGAAAGGAAGCCACGGGGAAACGAACCAATCTTGGGGGTACCCTCTAGCAAGACACATGCAAATGCGGGTGGATATGGGTTGTGGGATGACCCGGGGACCACATAGGCAAAGTTTCCCATGGTCATTGAGTCAAAATCCCATGATTTTCAGTTGCAATTCCCCAGTCAACTAGGAGAGTTGATACTTTTTGGGACCATTTTGGTGACAACAAGTCTGCGACATTATCTGACCAACTAAAGTGAGACCAGCAACAGAAAATGCAGGAAGTTCGAGCCAACTTCCCACCGAAAGACCCGTGTATTTTTTTTACGATGCGCCCAAAATGCAGACTAACAGCTGAAGCAGGATTTCTTGAACTCGGGCCTGTCAGCAGGAGGTTTTCGCCATGAAGTATGCGGCCACTCCAAACATCTAGCGGTGAGTAGGGCCATGTTCAATCAGGAACACTGCCAAAAAGCAAGCTAGTTGAGGATGGGGTGTGACATCACCCTTCAGAATCCGCGTGGGATTTGTTGCATCTTTCTTGTGAGCCAGCCAATGTCAACCCCGGGAAGCTGCCGGGTCCATCAAAGTGCATCCTTATTATTGCCCTCTAAATGCAAGTTTGAAGGGTAACCAGCCCTTACATCTTGAGTTAAACCCCCCCCTTTAAACATTAACCATGTCGAATGCAATTTTGCGGACAAGAGGCAGAGGCTACAGACTGGGAGGTGCGCAACACCCAATTCCTGCGAGCAGCCGCTCACAAACTGGCGTTCGTTCATGTTTATTGATTTAGATTGAACGGACCAGCCTTGCAGTCGTGTGAAAGTGGATGGCATTACCTCCTCATTTAGGCTTCATTATCCTGTCTACTTGTGGAGGGATGTCCATCTACTTCGACCTGGTGTAGGGTGTTTCCAGATGTTTCCCATTCTTCAGCCTGAGGGTTACCCGGTCCGATTTCAGCCAATATGTCTCGAAGTTCGGGTGCAACACGCCAGCGACCCGCAGCTGGTGAGCAACTCTATGCTCAGTTGTTTGCGGCAGAACTGTTCTTCTGGCCAGCTTGAATTATCACAGTGCACCCAGATGTCGACTTTGAATCAATTCCAATGAGTTCATCGCAATGAGGAGAACATGGTGTGTTTCTTAATCATTCATCATTCCAGGGATTCCACGCATGCACCAAAGTGCGCGAATCGGTTTGGCCCCTGCTTCACCCCTGATCGTTTCCCATGTGACTTGAAAGGAGACAGCTTGATGCATGGCAGGGGCTGTCGGCTTCGCAAGTTGTTTATCAGGTTGGACTTGGGGCCTTTTTTTTCCAAACGCGTGGAAGCGAGTGGTAGGTCTGCTTGACAGCTTGTGACTGTATGATACAACATGTTTTCCATCATGATTGAAGAACGAGTTTGGTGCATTATGTTGGTTTACAGCATGGAAACATGCATAGGTGTACACGTATACACATCACTCACACAGACACACACACGGACACACACACACATACGTACATACATGCATACATGCAAGCATGCATGCATGCATACATGCATACATGCATACATGCATCCGTCCATACATACATGCATACATGCATGCATGCATACGTACGTACGTACGTACACACGGTCATACACAGATACGTACACGCGTACATGCGCACAAACATACATATATACAAACAAACAGACAGAGTGACAGACAGAGACAGAGACAGAGACAGCGGCAGAGGCAGAGGCAGAGGCAGAGGCAGAGGCAGAGGCAGAGACAGAGACAGAGACAGACAGAGACAGACAGACAGACAGACAGACATAGAAACATTACATTGCATTGCATTACATTATGTTACATTACATTACATGGTGTTCGTGCCTATGTTTGCATCCCTGACTTCGGATGATCCAGACCTGCTCGAGGATGCTGTAGAGCAGAGACGTTGTATTGCATCGCATCGCAGTGCACCGCACTTCATTGCATTGCATTGCATGACATTCGTACATGCTTACACATGTAAAAATATATAATATATACATGCATGTATATTGGTTTGTATACACAGGTGATGCACACGCGTTCAAGCAACAGTAGCTGAAACTAAAGTGCAACAGTGCGGTTACGTACGTGCATCCAGGAAGCAGGCATCCCTCATCCGGATGGCAGCTACGACGAGATCTACGACGAGCTGTCCTTGGCGAAGGAGATCCTTGCGCTTTTAAGGCGGAACCCCACCGCTCAGAAGGCCCACTCGGGGAAAACGAGCGGCGATGCAGGTCTCCAAGTCCAAGACAATTGGTGCACTTCCTTTTTTTCATTTTAGAGGATTTCTCATTTTAAAGTCAGCTACCCCAAAAGAGGCTGCTTTCCCCACAGCCACTGGAGGTTTGGGGAAAAGCGAGTTCTCCTTGAAAACAGCCCAACCTCAACGAAAAGACACAGAGAGACGATCACCAAAAAGAAACAGAAAAGGCAGAAAAGAGAGATACACTGCTGCAAGGCGCGTGGCCGCCGCAAGGTATCAGGGTGGACCTGAATCACTGATCCCCACGAGCAAGCAGGAAGTAGAAAGGGGTTCCGGCTTGCACCCAAGCACAGTCACGTGCGTCCTAGAACCCCATTTGTTAGAACCCCTTGAAATGAAGGTCACCCGAGGTTATGCATGCGCAGGTGATGGTGAAGCTGAACGACTCTTTCAGCGGTGAAGGGAATGCGGTGTTGCGGGTTGACAAGGATCTCGCGGCAGCTGCCAAGGAGAGGTGTCGCGTGCGCAGCTGCGCAGAAGGCTTTCGAAAACCAAGCAAAACAAGGACGCGTTTGAAGGGAAGAGCTTCCGCATGGTCTAGTTGACCTTTTGGCAAGAGTAACAGGAGAGAGGGAAAGGCAGCTTTCCAGGTTTGCGTTCCAGATTGAGGACAGTGTTTAGTACGTATGCAGCCAAAATCGACAAGTGAAGTGAAGTCGTTTGGACATCCACGTCCAGTGTTGCCTTGGTTGGGCTCTACGGCACTCGGCATGTGAATGGAAACTTGGAGCTGAGATCACAGGTGCCTATTCGGGGCCCTGACATTTTGTACATCAGTTTGGGTGCTTGGGCTTGAGGGAATGTCTATTTCCAGGACCAATTGCATGATGGGAATCCAGGTTGATTAAGTCCCGCTTCAGAGCGACCTTCACTTTATTCGACAACAAACACCCCTGTTGTTTTGCCCGGTTATAGCCGCGGTCGACAGCACAGAGACATACAGGGACATGGCCTCCTTCCAACAATCATGGAAGCTGACAGTAATGTGGGAACACTTTTAGAAGACCTTTGGTTGACCTCCAAGCCAAGCCGAAAGGGTACCCTCAAGCGAAAGAACCCCCATGCATCACTCCTGTACCGGGCTTCCCCCGCGCGAGGGCACGGACGAAGTCGCAGTACCAGCTATCCTGGAGAAGCTGCACAGCTCTCTTGAGTATGTAGCGCCAGGCGAATCGGGAGGTTGATCGGTTCGGTGCGCTGAAAGGTCCGGTGGGCAAACCGGGGACAATGTGGTCCTTTTTTGGTGTACTTCTTGGTGTTCTTTTGATTTCAACTTGCATTGAACCTGATGCTGATCATATCCCGCTTCCTTTTGGGCATTTGGGCAAGTGACTTCCCGACACGGCTTGCTGAGTGCCCAAGGGATAGTCCATGGGGGTTTTGGCGTAGCTGATGTAGGCGACCAGTTCTTATGCGGGTAATGTATTTCTTCCCATGAGGCTTCCTGTGTTCGGGTGTTAGGTGGAAAATGATAACGACGTGCCTTACGTTTCTGGATGCACCTTTGGCCTGCAGTTCCTGCTGGACACGTTGAGGCTGAACTGGTGTGTTGCAGGCAAGACTTACGTGCATTGCGTTTGGGCAAGTGGTACTCAAAGTGGTTCACACCAAATATGGGAACCCCTTCACGGGTTTGCAAACAAATATTCCCCCCCTCCTACGTCGATGGCAGTTTTGATTGCTCACGCTAGGCCTCACCTGGGCGCGGTACTACTCCCAGTTCCAAAGCCTTGGCGGCGTGTGTGAGGCCTTCATCGAAGGCTGGCGAATCGACTCGCCGAATGTGACTCGACCACGCCGAAAAAGGGGGGGGTCTAAAAGTGAAAGAAGCCCCGCTCAAAGGTGATCCCCCTCCCCCCCTTTTCAGGCGGGGGGTGTTCCCTCCTTTAAAAGTGATGAATGAAGCCCCACTAAAAGGAGACACTCAACCCCTTTGGTTCATTCTAATCTCAGGGGTTCCCAATAGGAACTCCGCAAGGTGAATAACAGGGCTTGTCCTGTCAAGGCACGAGTCACGCGTAGTACCCAGCCGTCCGCTTGAAAGGTTTTCCCCTTTGCCCTTTCAGATTCACACCAATAGTAAGGCAAAGGACCAATAAGGTTTATGAAAAAATCTATGGAAGCATTGGTTGGGCCTCCCCAACCCTCCTCCCCTTTGCAGCCCCCAAACCAACAATGTGTACGAACTTGTATTTTCCGTTTGGTTAGATTTCGCTCAGTCTGTGCTTAAAACCCACCAATACTTAGCCACTACTAAACCCCTTTTCCAAAAAAATATGTGCTTCTCGCAAAATGAATGTTTCATACCCACGTGTGTTTTAGATGACAAGGTTTTCAATCTCACAAAGGGGACTCTCCCCCCCCTTGGAGGCCAGCCCCAAAACAAGACCATTCTCCAAATCCAGGACCGCCTTTTGCCCCCCCCCCCCCCCAGAAAAAAGAAGAAGTCTGTTTTACCACCTGTCAGAAGTTGAGCATGGACTTGGGGTTCGCCAATTCCTAGTCTCCTAAGCTCCGCGTTGAAAGTCTGCACGAGATTTGGACCCGGCCGGAGAGTGGATTTCGGTTTTGCTTTGGTTTTGCCTCTAAAATCACCCAAAAGAGGGTAGCCTCTTCAAGACACCGCAAGCCCGTTTGCATGCTAGGCGCGGCAGATGCAAAAACTTCACCATCTTGTCAAGCCTTTCTATCTGGAGCTGGTGTGAGGCCAGGCGGGTTTCAGGGACGGGCGAGTCACTTGCACGTTGCGTCTCACTGTCCGCAGCAAGATCGTGACTCGGATGCTGGCACCCGGGCCTACATCATTTGCGTATATTTGGGATCGCTTGTTTCAGGTTTGCAGATTTTGAGAAGGAGCTTTGCTTGTGAATGAGCTTTTGATCATTGTTTGGGCAGACGGTGCGAGAACAACTGCGTGCATTGAAACCCATGCCAAGTGATGCATTTAGATATCCAAGTTGTGTCCTGCGGTTTTGTTCAAGTTTACATAACTTGCGAGCCCACAGCTAGTGCACAGGGTCGAAGCGAGTGCCCATGTGTTACCGTGTTCTTTTCATCCTTTGCAGCCCTCCTTACGTTGCTGGAGCTTCCCGAACACGCCAGGGCTGAAAGGGATCAGTTCACTCGCTGCACTCTGACCTAGTTATGCCTGCAGGTCTCTGCCAATCCTGCGCATTTCCACATGGTTGTGGAACATGTTGTTTTAGGCAACTTTCCGTTTTGCCAAGGGAAGGATCTTTAAGTTTTCATATTAGTGATAGGGATGGCTCACTTTGACAGACAGCACTATTGCCCACAACCATTCGTTTCCACCTGCCGGCGGGATTTTTCGTTAGATCCGTGTCATGCAGAGGCAGCGTGCGAAACACCTCCACACAGTGATTGTGTATGCATGGCAGTTACTGGCAGTTCAAGCAGTGGCTCGTGCCAACGCACGACATTCACGAACCATGAGATGCAGAGCAGAGAGCGAAGCAGTCGTCAAGCATGAGCACGTGCGCCCTTCATGAACTTCAGGATCCTGGGGACGCACGAGCAGATGCTGAACGGGCAAATTTACACCGGGTGCAAGTTCCCGGCCTTCCAAGAGTATTCTGCTGACCTGATCACAGAGACTCTGAAGATTGGCAAGGAGACCATGGCTTTATCACCAGCGTTTTGCCAGACTGCGCCCGTGAAAGTCAAACATAATTCTGAGGGTTTCCCTTCAATCCAATTCAGAGGATCATTTTGAGGATGTCGCTTTGGACCCAGGATAGTGGGCCCTGACGGAGCACGCCCTGATCCAGCTGAGACGCAGCATCCCCCAGAAGAACAAAGAACGATTGGCGATACAGGGTGCAGTAGTTTCGAATAACCCTTTCTGCATATGGTGGGGCCTCCATTACGGGCCACACCCACAACGGGAGATTGACAGGAGATGATCAGGCACGAGGTTGTCGGCTACATATCCGTTGACTTCGTTTCAGTGCGGCAAGATGATGGTAGCTACAAGCAACTCTTCCTGCATGTGCAAAAGGCTTGCTTTGAAGGCTTCGGGGCTATCAGGGTGCTGGGAGAGTGTTTCGCCGATTGGCATTTGCTTGCAGCCAGGGTTGGGCAAAACTTGGTCAGACAACCAGACCCTGACCCCAAGGAGATTGTTTACGTTGTTTTTGGTTTAAGCCAGCGGCCTACCGTAGCGCAGGCATCAAGTGCTTGGAGTGTGTGTGTGTGTGTGTGCATACCACCAGGTTGAGATTCTTGCAGAATTACAAGCCACTGGGGGCCACATTCGCGAGAAACCTGCGGGTCTAAGGCATTGGGCTATTGAGATCAACGTGAGAATGGGTGGCACCACGTTGCCCATCATGACGTTGAACCTGGCCTGAGCCCAGTGGATCCACTTACCTGTATAGCAGGGTAGCGAAGGGAACCGGGTGGGAAGTGGAATCGACCCACTGGGTCGGGTACAAGCGAGCTGCACTTTGCTTGTACCACCCTCGCAAGCAAGCACACCACGTCGCTCAGGAATCTCCTTTGCGAGTCTGGCGCGCTGAACGACCGTACTTCCGAATTCATCGCCAGCGATGGGAAGCCAAGGCTGGGCGTCTGTTGCGCGTTCGTCTCGTGTTTTTTTTTTTTTGGGGGGGGGGGACGCGAGCGCAGGTACTACATTGCCTCGGACACCCTGCGAAGCTTGGCAGGGGAGATCTGCGTTCCAACGCTCCTTTTTAGGGGCATTGGTGGATAGCCGTTTTGCTGCTACTCGCGGGGGGTCCCGCATGTTGAGACAAGCCCATTGGCTTGCCTCGACGGATCGCGCTGTATCGCTGCTCCAAGGAAAACCATGCTACAAAGGCCTGGTTATCGAAGACTTGCTGGACATCATCAAGAGACCTCTTGATGCATGAAGCGCTGATGCCTCATTTTGTATATGCGCCAGGTCTTCAAGGTGTATGTTAGTGATGATCCAATCGCTGTGTTGTGATTTGAAGCTTACGGAATGAAGAAATGGAGCTTCAGGAGGGAAGGCCGGAAGAATTTGTTCTCTCCTCTCGCAGGGACCTTCTGGGGTTCATGGCAACGCGGGGGAAATGGGGGGCATCCTTGGCACGGGTCACTTACTCTTCGAGGACATTCGGCGGAAATCGAGTGGAACTGCCGACCCGAAGCGCCTGAGACAGGCCGGAACCCGAGATGGGGTACTAAGTCCCCCAGTAGTGCCCTTGTACCCTTTTTGGGGGGAGGGTTCCCCTACTAAAGTTGACCACCAAAAAAGTACCTTTATTCTAACCTCTCTGCTGGAGCACCTAGGGTACCCAGCATTCTGCTGGAATCGGCCAGGCAGCAAGCTTGAAAGGATCGATCCCATTTTTGGGGCCGAGGGGTCACAAAGCCTATAGGATCCAAGGGGTTGTGTCGGACCCTGAGTTTTCTCCTTGGCGGGGCAAGCCAAGGACAATTTGGGGCGGATGAAATTTGATCTGATCCCCCTGGGTTATATCCATACAACATTTTCCTCCAAGTGCTGTTTAAAGGGAAATGGCGAAACAGATCAGAATTTTCCCAATAGGAAGCCCAAGGATGGAGCCAGTCTTCCGGTAGGCGCCATCTTCCACTTGGTGACTCTTCTCTCGGAGCTGGGGAAGTGCGGCTTGGTGTGCGTGGGCCGGACTCGAGAAGAGGCTGAGCAGATCTTCGGGAGGGTCAAGGACCGAGCCATGTTGTCCCACCATGTGGCCCAGCACCCACAGGGTCCCCTGGTACCTTCTAAGGATGCACTTAGACCCCTTTTGACCCTACCTTAGACCCGCCTCAGAGGGTGAACGCATTGCAGCCACAGCCATGATGTTGGCCCATGTGGCCCATGTGGCCCGGCCCTAGGTGGCGTTTGGTGTTTGCAGGGCCCATGCTTTTCAGGATGATGGGGATTCACTGGGCACGGTTGGGGTCGGTCGGTTGGTTGGCTCCCTACACCCAACCCTAAAGTCACCCGAAACTCAGCCTAAACTACCATGCCAACATCAAGGCATTAAGCCACCCTAGATCAGCTTTGGGGTACCAATTCAGCCTTGGACCCAAACACAATGGAACCAGCATTTCCCCACAGTTCCCCCGATTTCCAGCCGATTCGCTCAGAATGCCACAAAATACCCGCTTCAGCGCCCACGGGGGGGAAGAACAATCTTCTAACCTTTGTTTCTCTGAGCAAGCACGAGCACTCTTGAATTACATCTCTACCCTTTTTGAAGCCCAAGCCGTTTTGCTCAGCCAGCTCTTTTGGCTGGGCGTTATCAAAGTTCGAGTTTGTGGCTGGTGGTTCCCCTTCAACCTTGGGAGGGCTCTCCCTTTTCTTCAACGATCGGCCAATAAGGCTGGAAGACCTGACCTGGATCTTTCACGTAAAAACCGGAGGCTACCAGTTTTTTGAGGGTCTCAGTGAAAAAACACGGAGTTTTCAAACTCCTGGTTTTTGAGGTAAAACTCCTAGAAATTGATTGTCGCTTCTGGAAATGGTTTGCACACCTGAAACCTCCTAGAAATCGCAATTATTCGGTACTTGACGGAAGGAACTCTCCAATTCAGACATATTCTGAATCAGAATCATTCACCTGAATCAGAATCGTTCACCTGAATCAGAATTATTGATTCAGAATTCAGAATTATTCTGAATTCGGAATTATTGCCTTTGGCTACAAATTGGCAAAACCGGAAAGCACCACACCTGAAACTCAGCGCACAACACCCGCAAAAAGCTCGCAAACTCCCGCAAAAACCCGCAAACTCCCGCAAATCAAAAAAAGACGGAGTTTCCGGAGTGTGCGTAGTAAAATCAGTGGAATACCCACTCCAGTGCAGAGTTGCATAATTGCTGGGATAGTGTACAGAGTTGCACAATTGCGCGCCCAAACAACGAAAAAAGACAACAAAACTTGAATCCAATTGTTTCCCCCAAGAACCACTCCTAGTTTTTGATGTTCACTCCTGCCTTTTGCAAGCCACTCCTGCTTTTTGATTCCTGCAATTGAAACACCTGAAACTCCTAGTTTTCAGAGGGTCTCCTGGAAATATCCCGGAGAACGGAAAAAAAAACAGAGAAATAACCCGGAGACGGAGGACCCAGGGAGGCTAATTTCCTGCGTGCGTTTGCTGCATGCTTTCGCGACTTACATGAGCTTTGCCTCCTACAATACCGCTCTTGCACACACAGACACAGAGAGACAGACACAGAGACACACAGACACACAGACACACAGACACACAGACACATAGAGACACGCAGAAGACACATAGAGACACGCAGACGACACAGACGACACAGGCACCGACACGGACACATGACACCTAACAGAGTGGGCCCTTTCGAGCAAGCGCCCAGGGTTGAGTCGCTTTGGCTTGAGTTCTTGGGCTGCTGTCAACCTGCATAGCCTCTCCCGGCCAAGAGACACTGCAGAACTGGAGCTCCATACCCATTCTGCCAGAAGACACAAGTGCACAAGCGCTGGCCGCTTTGAACAAGTGGCGCTCCACATCACTCCAGGGCAAGCCGGCCACATGTGGGCGGTCGGTTCCACGGGAAACGTGCAGGAGATTCTGGACAACGAGGTGGAGGCAGCACTCCGCATCGGTGCCAAACGATGTCGAGCCAATGCTCGCGGAGTTTCATTTGAAGCCCCGCGAGCCCGTTCTAAGCATTTACGCCCTGACAATGTTCAAAGACCTTGTGTGGGCCAGTGAAGCGACCAAACAATTTGTTACGTTAAAGTGAGAGACTGATGCTTTTAAACGTGGCTCGGAGAGGCCGGGTAAATAATTGCGCCAGCCTAGCTCCAGTTGTAAGCACGCAGCCCTTGGTTCAAGAAGGTGTTTGACCTTCACGTTTGCTACCCGTATCCTTGCAACTGCTCCCGAAACATACCCTTTGAGGATGGTTGCGCGGTGGTGTCTTGCTCACCATGTTGTTTTATGTTTTGTTTGTTTACTTGATTTTAACAAGCCAGAACTAGCCTGGTCTCTTTTTCTTTCCCCCGCAGCCATTGGGCGAGTAGCCACATGAATCCAGCTTGGCATGATGAAGGGCCGCAACTTTGAGGATCCCTTGATTTCACATTTGAGCTTGTTGTAAAATGTTGCCGATACTCGTTCAGGCAGAGGCTGAGATCAGCCTGGTTGTGGAAGGTGACAGCTCAGACATGCTGAGCTGAGGCGACGTGAAATTTGGGCCTTATGCCTGTGAAGGCGGCCTTCGCACGTGGCTCTTTTTGCTTGTGCCTTTTGTTTTGAATGCCGGTTCCGCTGCATTTCAGTATTCCCAGATACTCCAGGTACAGTACGCGTGTGGAAAATGTGTTCATCTAAACTGGCCCAGTGTGTTGGCACAGAATGTCTACGTGGAGTTTTTGGGTGTCTCCCTGCGAGCAGAGCGTGCTTGGAAAGGCAGTGGGTTTTGGATGGGAGTTGCGCCGGACTTTGACGGCGGGATCTCGCATACATTCAGACTTCAGCCAGCGCGCTGAACGCGTTAGAGAAAACTGGATGCACAGCACAGCCATGTGATTTGCGCGAGTTGTGGCAAGCTCACCTAGGTAAAATGATCTTGGCCAGTCCCTACGCGGGGATTCCTCATTTCGAGATCAGCGAGTGACACCGATTTGAACATAAACGCTGGATGCAAATGCCGAGCTTGCATTTGGACTGCCTACTGCCCATTGTGTGGTCCCAATAGTTGACTGCTTTTGCCTCGTTTGGCCGAGCCAGCGTATGACGGGTTATGGCTCACAAACTGGAGGACTGAGATAGAATACATGAAAGCATGGCAGCGTCATGGCCCAGATCCACACTTCAAGTTCAGCACGCAGGTAAGCAGAGCCTTCAACGCCTCTGCTTGGCGCATCTCATGTTTGCAGATAACTTCCTGGGATCTAATTTAGCATTATCTTACATATCTTAGTTCTCTCAATATGGACCAAAATCATTAAAACTTAAAACTATTGGACAAGAATCGAAGAGAACCTGTCAGCTGCTTAGGGCCAGATCTGAAGCTGAAGCGCCATGATGACCGCCGAGACCCTGACAGAGTCAGGTGGGTTGGAAGCTCTGGGTCTGCCGTTGAATTGCGGGAGGGGGCTGACCAGGACTTGCCTAAACGTTAGTTGGGACTGAGAATAAGCCCTTGCAGCATGCCCAACAGACCCTGGGACCATGCAATGGAAACCCCCAGAAGCCCTATCCAGCCGGACCCCTATCCATATCAAACCTCCAGAACCTTCTGGATTCCTCCGGAACCCTATCCAGCCAGCGCCCCAAAGAACCCCCCCCCAACCTTCTGGAATCCGGAACCCGATTCATATGAACCTCAAGCACCTTCTGCATTTGTTCTGCAACTGCGGAACCCCCGGCTTCCAAAAGTCCAAAACCTTCCGGACTCGGGCAAGGAACCCACCCATAGCTTTGAGCTGCTGGGAAAAAACTAATTGTTGGATCCTCCACCCAGAATCTTGCTTCATTGGGGCTTTATGGCGAAATTGTTTATTGTTTCCCGTCTTGGACGCTGGATGATTTGGTGACATTGAGTTTTGCTATGCATGATTGGGTGGAAAACAGCACAAAAGCCGTCGCTGGCTTGCCGGTATCTTGACCACTCAGCTGAGTTGTTTCCCTCTCAGACTGGCACGGGTTTGCCATGTTATTTCTTGGGCGCAACTCTGAACAGCGACAGCCAATGTTTCTGCAGAAATAACCTGCCAAGCCAGGTCGCCAATGACGAGTCCTTAGGAGGTTCCTTATCTTGCTGGCTCTCAGCAGAGAACGAGGGAATGATCCCGCCCTACTGTTGATGGAAGAAATATTGCATGAGTTTTCTAAGACTACGTGTTTACCACCACCCCGCGCCCCCTACTTAACATTGAGCTGTGACGGGCAAAAGTGCTTGTAGGTTGCCAATGACCTAAATCTTGCATGACCCACCCCAACTTGGCCAAACTGAGCACCAATGTTAATTAGGGGCGGGGTAAGTTATAACAAGATGGAGGTGATCTGTACAACAGTCATACAAGATTTCTTCCATCCACCGTAGGTTCATTCGAAAACACATGGGTCGTTCCCAAGTGAGCATCAGCAAGTTATTCGCATTTGGTTGTTTGTGCACGGTCGCCACCTCTTTGGGAAATGTGAGCGCCAGGCGGAGAATATGAATACCCTGCCAGCTTTTTGCCACGAGCGCTTTGGCCAAACGCGACAGGGCAGAGCTGTCTGGATGTTAAATCCTCTTTGCAGCAGAGGGCTATGGGTGAACCCCCTTGTTGCCCATTTGCCACGTTTCCAAGAATCGTAGAAGTGGAGAGGGGACTTTGCAAAAGGATGGCAGTCGATATAATTCCATGATTGAAGGCAGAGGGTAAGAAAGACCATCATGGAGGGGGACATATTATAAAAACTTGGCACATTGAATAATATGTGCTCACCCAAGAAGCTTCGTTACTTGGGGAGGGTTCGTTGTTTCACCGAATCTTACAACATCTTACAACACATGGGCCACATCGAAAGCTAAAGCCGGGTCCGTCACCAAGGCATCGGCATCTTCCCCCGGGCGGAGTCGCTTGGATAGCAAGGCGCGGGTTTCCGCGGATCGGGCGGAGGTGCGAGCTACCAGCCATGGCCAGCAGCGAGCAACCGACAATACTACGATTCTGGCCTGTTCAAAAGCAATGTTTAATCTAGCATTGCAACATGGATCCCCCTCTATTGCAGTTTCGAAACAAGGATGTTGGATTAGGATTGGCCAGCACTCCATTCTGAACTGCCCAGTGTTAGGCCCTTTGTTGGGTGCTGCCGGTTTACTGAACTTCTCCGCCCGGGAAAAGGCAAGCCTGTTGCATTAGTCCCCCCCCCCACCGCCACCAAAAAGGCAAACCTAGAAGACTCGCCTAGCTGATTTGCCTGCACGGAACAGTGGCCGTTCACCGACCCTAAGCCACGCAACGAGACCTAAACCCAGCCCATTTCGGAGCAGAGCAAGCCCTCACGAAACCTCGGCCGACTTTGAAAGGCCCTGAAGCCTGAAGCATGACTTGACACTTCAAAAAAGAACCGCCGGGGTGCGACGGGCTGTTGATATGTTCAATGTTGGGCTCAGTCATGACACTCGGCTCATTCTTGCACTGGGCAGAGTTTGTGAGTAGTTGGGGAAGGAATGCAACTTGGCCACCAACAAAGGGGTTTTGAACTTCCGCGGCTTTCAGCTTGCGAGCTCGAAATTGGATCATCCCAAAAAAAGGGGACCCGCCCGAATCCGAACAGTTGCGGGCTTACAGGACTGTAGTTGGGCCCCATGGGGCGGTTCTTTCCAAAAGATTGTGAGACAGGCGGTGCTGGCCGTTGGTTCACACAGACGGGTTTTTATGGCTCTGGTAGATCCTTTGGGGACCCAAAGTTGGGGAGACACAACAAGGACCGCACGTGTGCCATTTACGGCCGCCGATTTTTTCTGGGTGGCTGATCTCCCTGTGCGCTTGCAAGAACCGTTTCTTGTGAAAAGGGAAGGGCCAACTTTCGGGGAGCCGTCTATAGCAACTTGTAGGGGCGTGACTCCCAGAGTTGGGTCAAATCCTGTGGAGAGAAAGACGGCCGCTACAAGGCCTTTCCGGAGTGTATCCCATTACACTTTTAGGCCCTGGGTGGAAACATGTGAAGCCCTGGGTTGGTTGCGCCATATGGTTAAGGCCTACTAGGGTGAAAGTAGCTGGCACTCTCATTCTGCTCCAAGGACGCGCCATGTTTCACCTGGACCCCAAGGAACGGGCACACTAAGCTCAAGCCTAGCCCCGGTGCCTTCCAGTTGCCACCAGAATGGGTCACCAAGTATTTCTTGCCTCGAGATTTTACCAAAGGCTTTCCTTCCCAGATGTCGCATGAAAGTTTCCCTTTTGTTACCTCTATGCGCGGAAGCCACGTGGAAAAAGCTGCACATCGGGCCCTGGCCCCCCCTCCCATGCAAAACCATGGGAAAGTGGGAGTTCAACTCGCAGTTGAATCCCAAGAAAACTTGGACCTCCGCGGGGTTTCCATTGGGTTTCCCCCAGTGGGAAATCTGTGGGAAACCGCCTGCAACCCGTGGGATCACCCATGGGACCACCAAACGTCACGGGAGTGACAATCAAAACCCGGGTAGATGAAGGTTAGTAAGGGACAACCCCAACCAATAGCTGCGGATATCCGCCTTCTTACTTCTTTGCATGGTTCTGGCTAGACCATTTTCATACCAGGTTTCGATTATGACTGGGGAGGTGTTGGACCTGGAGATGGACCGCTCCCTGCAGCGCCTGGCCGCGTGCCGCGTCACCGCGGAGGCCGCCAGCCAGGTGGTGGCCATCCTCGCGGACGCCGGCGCCGGGCTCGGGCGATGGCCGGAGCCGGGAGGGGAAACGGAACGGCGGGAGGCTGGGGGTGGGGTGGTGGGGGTGGGGGGTGGGGGTGGTGGGGGGGGGTGGAACCATAAGAATAATAGATTCCTTGCATTTGTTTTGTTGACCAGTGCAGACCAGTTTTCTGCAAGGACGCCTAGGTGGAGCTCCTGGGAACCTGGGCGTCGGTCCGAAGAGCTGACTCGTCCGGGACTTTCAGTGGGTGAAGGGTGGGCAATGTTGACCCCATATTGACAAACCCCTGGTTGATGAATGGGGCGTGTCCCCGTTTAGTGGGGATTCGAATCAGTTTTGGATGAAAGACCCCCCTAACCATGGGAGGGGTTTACTAGTCCGGGGTCAACTTTGTCCGTTCTTGCTTCAAGTGAGTTTAGCGCAAAAGCTTGCCCAGCCTGTACCTTGACACATCAAAGTCAGAAACGATCCAAAGCGACAGCATCAGCTTGGGCCGCTGAGGCAGCCTCCCTTATCGAGCCAAATCTAAAGTCGGGCCTTTGTGAAGAGCAAACGCTGAACGCAAAAAAGCAAACTTTGGTGCATTTTGCCAAGGGATGTTAGGACTTTCACTTTTTGCCAACTATATAATGGGTTTTCCATTAAACCACTGAAAGTCAAACTTTTAGCAGGGGAGCAGAAAGCAACCAAGTAAACAGATGTTTCTTCGGACGAGAGGCTTTCACGGTTTTTCCTTTAGACGCCTTCCAACCCGCGGTTTCATTGAAGGGAGGTGCTAGCCTTCGCAACAAAAAGCAATGTGCAGATGCATCTCGGCAATTTGGAGCATCACTCTCGCTTGCTTTGAATAGCTTCTTCAGAATAAACGATGATGTTTTTAGATGTGGGTTGCCTAATTTGCCTGAAACAGAACTCTTAAATCATGGTGACCTCACAAACGGGTTCCAAACCTCACCCATGATGGC